ATTGCCGGACAAGGACAGCTCATTCGAGGACCTGGAGCAGTTCCTGGGGACGTCTGAGCGGCAGGGCCAGGGCCGTGGGGTGCAGCCGGAGCCCCAGCTGCAGCAGCTGAAGAGCGCGGTGGAGGAGATCCACAACGCCATCGGTGAGGCCAGGCCCTCACTGGGAGAGCGGCCGCAGCTCTTCACCCCTGCTTGCTGGTCCATTTCAAGCTTCTGTTTGGGGAAGGGTCTGTCGATCAGAGCCTCTGATCAGACTCATGTCCACCCAGCCTACGCCTCAGCCCTTCTCATTTTGGAAATAGACTGGTAGGGACAGGGTTTCACCATGTTGGTCAAGCTGTTCTCAAACTCATGACCTCAGGTGATCTGCCCACCTCGGCCTCCCAAAGTGCTGGGATTACAGGCCACCGCGCCCGGCCTAGAGTTTTCTAAGAACCAGTGAGGGCGGCCCGATAGCCTCCCCGGCGGCGATCTCGCTGTGCTGCCCACACTGAGGAACTTGGCCAGGGTCCCCACCCACAGGGGTTGATTCTAAAGTCTCCCCTGGTCCCTGCGGTTTTGGGTAAAGGCCCTTTTGAGAAAGGGATCATTCTCCGGTGTTTTCTCAGGCTGCTGGCCCAACAGGGCAGCAGCCGTAGGCGACAGTTTCTGGTCCCAGACTCCCTGCCCTGGGCCAGGAGGGTCAGGGGTGGGTGCAGGAGGCTTGAAGGCGGTGGAAAGAGGACCAGACAGGGCCCTCTCTCCTCTGCTCCCGGACACTGCCAGTTGGTCTGCCTCTCAGAGAGCTTGCTTGGGCGGAAGAAGGCCCCATGGCTTAGAGCCACTTGACCCGGCAGGGGAGGAACCTATGTGGACGTGTCTGGCTCTGTTCCCAGCAGACAGGCTGCTCTCGCTGACCCTTCTGGCCTTTGAAGGCCTAAACACAGCTGCCTCCAAGGACCGCTGCCTGGCATGCATTGAGGAGCCCTTTTTCTCCCCGCTGTGGCCTCTGCTGCTGGCCCTGTACAGGTATGGGCCCAGCCGTACAACCACTCGTGTGGCCTGGTGTCTCCCAGGAGGCCTGCCCTGCTCCCTGGCACTGTCTGCTCCCCTCAATGCCCCCTAGCCTGTGGCTTTCCCTGAGGCCATCCTCAGGCGCTTCCAGTTTGCAGGTAGGACTGTGGGCACCCTCCCGTGCCTGGCGTCTTGCGAACACTGGGGCTCTTTGCTTGGGATACATCGTCAGTTTTCTCCAGGCCTGAGCTCCAGCCACAGCCCTGCTTCTGTCCCCGGGGCAAGGTCCCTGGGGCAGCTTAGCCTGGTCTCTCTCTGCCCCAGGAGTGTGCACCGAGCCCGGGAGGCTGCCCTGAGCAGGAGCATGGAGCTCTACAGGAATGCACCCCCCACCGCCATTGGCATCCCCACCAAGCTCCTCCCCCAGAACCCTGAGGCCAAGGGGGCCACTGGCTACCCCTACTGCGCCGCGGCCCAGGAGCTTGGACTGCTGGTCCTGGAGAGCTGCCCCCAGAAGAAGCTGGAGTGCATAGGTCAGCAGGGGGAGGGGCAGGCTCCCATCCCAGTAGGTGGCCTGGAGCCTGTGTCTTCACCACTGAGCTTCTCTTGTCACGTGCCGGTGGGGAGGGGGGAGACCAGGACAAAAGTGGAGTCTGAGCAGTGTCCCCAGGGTCACCGCAGCTCTTCCCAGTCTCAGCAGTGTCCCCAGGGTCACCCCAGCTCTTCCCAGCCCTGCACACCAGGATGTGGGTGGGTGGGTGGGCGAGGTATAAGGGGTGGCTCAGGCTGCTCCTGAAACCCTGCCTGTGGCGCAGTGCGGACCCTGCGGGTCATCTGTGTCTGCGCGGAAGACTACTGCCCCACGCCGGAGGCCACACCCCAGGCCGGGCCCCAGCCCATCGCTGCAGCTGCCATGTGAGTCCCAGGAGGGTGAGGTGTGGCCAGGGAGGAAGGGCCATAGAAAGGCAGTGGTCACGGGAGGGACTGTCTTCCTGCCCCTTAGCCTCGTGCCAGCCGGCTGCACTGTACAAGCAGGAGGGGCCGTGTGGGCCCAGCCCTGGCTCCGCAGTGCAGTTTAGGGACAGCCTCACCACACCGAGATTGCGGCCAGCACGGCCAGGATGGCTCCACAGCTGCTGGGTTTGTGGAGTGAGAGGCCCCTGGCCCCAACCCACGGCCACTGTGCCCTCCCCACAGTGGTGCCGACGACCTGCTGCCCATCCTGTCCTTCGTGGTGCTAAGGAGCGGCCTCCCTCAGCTGGTGTCAGAGTGCGCGGCCCTGGAGGAGTTCATCCATGAGGGGTAGAGCCCGGCGGGGCAGGGCGGGGGTCTCTGTGGGAAGAGCAGGGACCTCATCCCTCAACCTAAACGGTGGTTGTCAGTGGCATCTGGGAGGGCAGCGTGTGGCTCCGTCACAGCCACGCCTTTGGACAGCCCCTGTGGGTCTACCTGTGCAGAGTACCTGCTGCCACATGTCCCATGCCTTCGCTTAGCTCAGCCTCTCCCCAACAGCAGGAGCTGGGGGCTGCCCCAAGCAACATCTGCCTGGGGAGGGGACGGTCAGGGGATCGAGGGGCATCCCTGGCTCTGCCGTCCAAGGACAAGCACAGAGTGGCTGGGAAAGGCCCCCTCTAGCCCAGCCGCCCTGACAGCCCCACCTGCGCACCGTCAGCACCCAGATCCTGAACTGGGAGGGCAGACACTGCCGTCTGGAGGGCCGGGGGTGTCCCTCTGTTCCTCCAGATGACACCGGCTGCCCCTGCCATCCGTGCAGGTACCTAATCGGAGAGGAGGGCTACTGCCTGACATCACTGCAGAGTGCCCTGAGCTACGTGGAGCTGCTGCCCCAGGGAGGCCTGGCCAAGTAGTAGAGCCAGACCCCAGGGCCCCTGCAGGGCCCGGCCTCGCCTCCCAGGGCCGTCTCTCCTGCACCTAGAGCCACGGGGTCTACTGAGGACCATCCTGGAGCCTCACGCTGCTCTGCACACGGCGGGGGCTTGTCCACTGTGGTGTACTCTCCAGCTCTTGCCCCTTCCCCACCTCACATCTAACCCTGGAGCTTGGGGTTGGCACCTCTGCCCCAATAGAGTGGGGCTGAATCAGCTCCAGGAGGAACCTGCTCACCTGTGCAGGCCTCAGAGAGGCCCCGAGAAGGGAAGCTGCGGGCTCCGGTGGGTGCGGGCTCAGCGATGAGCATCTGGCTGGGTTTGCTCAGCGCCTCACTGGGGCAGCTCCTGGGGAGCGTCAGGGAAGAGGGGTCCCTGAGCCAGCCAGCGGTGGAGACGGCAGTCCAGTTTCTGTCCCCTGTGACCCCTAGAAGGGGAGTTGTAGCCCCATGAACTAGTTTCTTGTCTGGATCAGGAACAAGGGCCGGCTGGTGCCTGGGGTGCACCTGGTGGGAGGCTGTGCTGTTTGCTGATGGGCAGGGACATCCCTGCGGGGTCCAGGGCTCTGAGCCCAGGACATTCCCTGCCCCTTGCTCACCTTGTCTGTGGGCCGTGAACATTCCGGGACCCTGGGCATCTTCTCCAGGTCCGTGCAGCCCAAGGGTCAGCCCTCTTTAACTGTCACATGCTGCCCCCACCCAGCCTGAAATAAAGAGGTCACTGCTGTGCTTTGCCGTGTGGCTCCCTGAATCCCCACCCCACTGGCCAGGCAGCACAACCACCCCTGCTGCCCACGGCAGAGGCGGCTGAGGATGTGGGGGAAGGAGCCACAGCCCAGCCCCAAACCAAGCCTGGCCCCACCTCTTGAGCATCTGTCAGCCTCCAAGACCCTCTGGATAGAAGCAGGATCCTCTTGGGGCTGTTCCTGGCCAGGCAGGTGTGGGTTTCACCCTCTTGGACAGGAGAGCTCCGCAGGGCATCAGTGGGTGGGAAGGAGGGAGGTGAGGCTGGGGTCCTAGGTAATCACTGGGGACCTAAGCCCAGAGCAGTCACCCGAGGGTCTTGGGAATCATCACCGTTCTGTGCATGGGGACACAAATGCTCTGAGGTGCACAGAAGGCCGCCTGGACAGCATCTGCCAGGGGGGTGTGGGCAGATCAGGATGTAGTGTTCCTCAAGAAAGGCACCGCCAGCAGCTTGAGATGACATGAGGAGGCAGGTGGCAGGGCTGGTGGGGTGGAGGTCCCAGCCCTCGATGCTACCAGGAGCTGGCTGTGGGGCAGTGTCGCTGTCCTCAGAAACAGTCTTAAAAGCAGTAGCTGTGGACGTCGCTGAGATGCTCTGTGCTTGCACCCTCAGGAGTGGCTGGTTTACCCCCGAGGACCCCGTGGGGAGACAGAAGAAGTGTCTCTGGGTGGGGGCAGAGCTGGAGCATCTGCCCCAGCCCTCGATGTGAACCCCAGCTGGCCATGGTGCCTTGGAGCTTGGGTAGGGTCCCTGCTCCAGCCTCAGTGTTGGGTGTCTAGAAGATGGGATTTTAAAGCCTGCTTCATGGAATGGTGGAGATGAGCTGTGTCTTGAACAAATCCTGGCGTGGGAGCACCTGCAGCCTGAGCACTTTGGGGGCCGGGAACGTCCCAGCTCGGCTGTCTCCCTGGCACTGAGAGCCCGCAGACGTGTTCAGGTGCTGCTGCTTGCTGTGCAACTTTGCCCTCTCTGAGCTTGCGGCTCCCCCATAAGACAGGAATTAATAATATAATTCCTTTTAGAAATCCTACAAATAAAGAAAAAACTAAGAGCCCCAATTAGAAAAACAGCAGAAGCTGGCCAGGCATCGTAGCTCACACCTGTAATCCCAGCACTTTGGGAGGCCAAGGTGGGCGGATCACGAGGTCAGGAGATCGAGACCATCCTGGCTAACAAGGTAAAACCATGTCTCTACTGAAAATAAAAAATCAGCGGGTCATGGTGGCAGGCGCCTGTAGTCCCAGCTACAGCTACTCGGGAGGCTGAGGCAGGAGAATGGTGTGAACCCGGGAGGCGGAGCTTGCAGTGAGCCAAGATCGCGCCTGCACTCCAGCCTGGGCGACAGAATCACGTCTCCCTAAATTCCAGTGTTGAGATCTGAACCCCCAGGACCTCAATGGGACTGTGTTTGGAGACAGGCTGTCTACAGAGGTGATGATGTTAAAGTAGGTCACCAGGGTACCTGCTGTCTGTAGTTGGTGCCAGCTGTCGGCTGGGACCTCAGGGCTGTCAGAACAACGACCTGAGGACTGGATGGGTCTCCAGCGGCTGCCGAAACGACCACAAAATGGGTGCCTTACAACAGCAGAAATGTTCTCTCTCACCATTTTACAGGCCTGAAGTCAAAATCAAGCTGTCAGCAGGGCTGACTCCCTCTGGAGGCTTTAGGGTAGAATTCCTTTTGCCTCCAGCTTCTGCTGGCTCTAACACAGCTTGTGTTACCTTAGCTCACGCTCCCTCATCCCACTCTGCCTCTGTCTTTAGGCGGTCTTCTCTCCAGTGCGTTCATATCTAAGTTTCCCTCTTCTCATAAGGACACCAGTCATATTGGATTTAGAGGCCATGCCAACCCAGAACAACCTCATCTTATCTTGATTCTGTCTGGAAAAACTATTCCAAAAAAGTCCCAGGAATAGGCTCCAGGTGAATGTGAATTTGCAGGTGGAAGTTTGCAGCCCAAAACCTCCGCACACGGCTGTGGCCTTCTCACTCTCGTGGCTGGGTTCTGAGGGTATGTGTTAGTCTGTCCTCATGCTGCTGTAAACAGCTGCCTGAGGCTGGGTAATTTATAAAGAAAAAAGGTTTAATTGACTCACAGTTCCACACGGCTGGGGAGGCCTCGGGAAACTCACAATCATGGCAGGAGACGTCTCCTCACAGAGCGACGGGGGAGACAACAAGTGCCAAGCAAAGGGGAGAACCCCTCATAAAACCATCAGATCTCGTTCCTTTCACTATCACGAGAACAGCATGGAGGAAGCTGCCCCCATGATTTAATTATCTCCACCTGGTCCTGCCCGTGACTTGTGGGATTACAATTCAAGATGAGATTTTGGGTGTGGACACAGCCAAACCATATCAGAGGCTAAGTATCTCAACACAAGGCCGGGGTGTGACGTGTTTATGATCTAGCCTTGTATTCACTCCAGCTCTATTCCATGGGTTGAGGCAGATGCAAAAACCGGCCCAGGCCCATGGGAGGAGAGCTAGGCCCACTGCTGATGGATGGGCTGGTGCCATCAAATTCAGGGAGGACGAAGGCAGGGCAGTTACCTCCACCCTCCTCCGCATCAGAAGAAGAATAAAATAAAGGAGTTGAGGCTTACGAAGTTAGCTGCCCCGAGAACTGGTGTGGACTCATGGTGGCACTGGACACCAAGGCTGGGTTCAGTAAACTGTAAGTAAAAGAACTCCCTGTCCAGGCCGGGCGCGGTGGCTCAAGCCTGTAATCCCAGCACTTTGGGAGGCCGAGACGGGCGGATCACGAGGTCAGGAGATCGAGACCATCCTGGCTAACACGGTGAAACCCCGTCTCTACTGAAAAATACAAAAAACTAGCCGGGCGAGGTGGCGGGCGCCTGTAGTCCCAGCTACTCGGGAGGCTGAGGCAGGAGAATGGCGTGAACCCGGGAGGCGGAGCTTGCAGTGAGCTGAGATCCGGCCACTGCACTCCAGCCTGGGCGGCAGAGACTCTGTCCAAAAAAAAAAAAAAAAAAAGAACTCCCTGTCCAGAGGTGGCCACCTACATAGGGAGATCCACCGACTCCATTACAATTTTTTTTTTTTTTTTTTTGCAGACGGAGTCTCCTTCTGTCGCCCAGGCTGGAGTGTAGTGGTGCGATCTTGGCTCACTACAACCACAACCTCCGCCTCTCAGGTTCAAGTAATTCTCCTGCCTCAGCCTCCCAAGTAGCTGGGATAACAGACATGAGCCACCACGCCTGGCTAATTTTTGTATTTTTAATAGAGACGGGGTTTCGCCATGTTGGCCAGGCTGGTCTCGAACTCCCAACCTCAGGTGATCTGCCTGCCTCGGCCTCTCAAAGTGCTGAGATTACAGGCATGAGCCACCGCACCACGATCACAACATTTCTAAGATGCCAGCAGGGAACTAACTGCCAAATAAAAATTCTAAGAAAAAGCGGGTACCTCGCCGCCCAGGCCCAGAGAAAGTTTCAACAAACTTGGGCCTTGGTTTTGGTGGCCTGGAGAGGTGAGGGACACAGACGTGAAGGAGCAGAGCCTGTCCAAAGCGGGGGTGTGGGGTGGGGGGGGTCTCGGCTGGGACCTCCAAGGGTCTCCCTCATCCTCCTCTACTTCTGGGCAATGCGAGAAAGTGCCTTTAGCACAGAACAGAGGAACCCGAGCGAAGAAAACGTCCCTGGGAAGTCGTGGCCCAGATTTAGCCTGGATGGATCCGGGGCCCAGGTCAGCTTTTAGCTTAGAGAGGGGGCGGCTTCGCCCTGCCTCAGAGACCCGCCCAGACGATGCTCTCAGGGGCGGCAGATGGCAAGTGCAGGAGGAGGCCGGGAAGCGGAGCCAGCAGAAATAGAATCTGAGGTCCCCGCACCCAC